GGGGGGGGTTAAAAAAAAACCTGGGTGGTTTTAACCCATAAATTTGATATTTTGCAGTTAGGTTTGAAATTTCCATTAAAATAATTGATTTGTGACAGTTTTAGTGGCTTTATGTGTGACCTGCAGCAAACAATACTGCAGTTTGACCCCCTAAAGCAGAGCACCAGTGTGCGGGAGTGAAAGTAAAAATTTACCCGAACAGCAAATATAAATTTTATTTTGTACTAAGTATTATTTTCAAAGAGACGGGGTGTGAAGAGAAAGACCAACAGTAAATCCACAATGTATTATCACCAACAATGTCAATGAGAACGGGTGGAAGTGGGTGAGATATATACAAACAACAAATAAACAAAAAGGTCGAAGTCGGCAGAAGCGAAATCAGTTCATAAGTTTCTTTGAATGACAAAATTCTTTGTTAGTATACCACTGCCGTCGGACCTCGAAATCAAAAGTAGACTGGTACCCATATATACCACACCTCGTGTCACATTTGAAACATTTTGACTTCGTATATTTGAATAACCACATGCCCAGTAACATTTCACAAATTGGTAGGGCTGTTTTCTTCCACTGCACCGACTAAAAGTCAAACTAACAGACTATATGCACCAATATAAAAATTGACCTCGGTATTAACTATTTCTATAAATAAAAAACAATACAACACACTACATGAAAGAATGTAACGATGATTACTCCCCTTGACATCGCCGAATACACTTAGTTACTTCCCTTTCATAATGAAATCATATGATTAATTATTTCCCTTGTGTAAGAGATTTTAACATGTTGGGATGGTTTTGCAGCTTGTTCTCACGTGAACACAGGGCTTTGAATTGAATGCAGTTTGGGCACCAGAAATAAGAGACTAGATATTTCAGATACATAACATAAAGGTCCTTTCATCATACCGACCACATCATATCAGAGTCCATGACAATGACAACAACAGACAAATAACAAAACAAGATATGCCAAAGTTGGTAAATGAAGTTGCAAATAATCTGAACATGGAGTTGCAAATTTCTACAATGGAGGACAAATTTATCAAGAAGATGCAATGTGACAATATATTCTTTGGTTCCAATTTTAAAAACTGAGGCACGCATATTTCTTAAGACATGAGTTTGCCTGCTTATGATCCGGAGAAACAAAAAAACACATAGTTTTCACATTTGAAACTGGATTCAGGATTCAGTATTTTGAATATTGCAAAACCAGACGAATAAAGAAGACCTCACAGAGAACAAAAGACGAAGGGGTAGATCATTCAATTGATGTAAAGAAACGGATTACACCTTCATATGATGTTACATTTATAATTTTTTGGGGGGAAACTCTTTGAAAGTTCTTTAACACGAAAGTGCAAATAAGTGCAACAAAAAGTGGGGAGTTTAGTGAAGGCCTGGAATTCAGACCTCAGACTGAGCTGGGGCTAAAAATGACATGACTTACATCACACACATTTGTCAGGTCACAGATGTAATGTCTCCAGCTGTTCCCAACCACACCTCGGAAGCATATGAGAATCTGATCTTCAACCCATACTATTGTTACATACAGACTTTCTCATAGTCATATTTATGTCATCCATGGAGCCTGGACATGTACAAGATTTCAAAGTGGTAAGCAGAAGAATAGACGATAAGAGATCACCTCCTTAACAGAATGCACGTTTCCCAACTTGCAATATGACCCCGACACCTCAGAACTATTGTCTCCAAAGTGTACTTAAGTGGACAAAATAGTTCTGAGGCGACACCTGTTTTTCTCTCCAGCAGAGTGAAGGAAAAAAAAGTGCAGTATGTTACCTAAGTCAGTACTTCCACCAGCTGAAGCTGAAAAGTAAGGAAAATTCTGCAGGGGGTCTGGGGGCAGCGCATGGCCCCCAGCAGGGTTTCGCCCCCAAAGAAATTGAAATTTAGTGCTTTTAGAGAGTTGAAAATGGCATTTGGGAGCCTGTTTGAAGAGATTGCCTACAAACCATAACATTTATTTTTTCACCAACATTTTGTCTTGTTTGATTTCTTCACCAAGATCTACACAATATATTTCCATTGATGGCAATGTTTAAAAGTAGGTTCCCCTTCCATTGCTACTATAATTCAATTAATTTGGCATCGCACCATTGATAGAAGGCAAACCTGGGCAGAGCTGGAAGTAACAGAGTACAAGTACTCCGGCACTTGTACTTATGTTACAATTTTCGGTACTTTTACTGTACTCCGGTACATTTTGAGAACCAGTACTTTTACTGTACTCCGATACTTTTTATAAAAGTACTTTTGAGTATTTTTAAAGTACATTTTGAGTACTTTTGAAGCTTAATAAAAGAGTAAGTGCCGGCATTTCTGATCATAATTTCCAGAACAAACCCCCGGGCGGGCACAGCCGATCAACAAGAATTAAAAGTTGAGATAAAAAAACTGCCCGTCGCGTCAAAGATCAGCCACTCTCGTGAATGTGATCATAAGCGTTGTAAAACTCCATGAAACGGTACAATGATCCCCAGGCGGGATCACATCGAGGTGTGAACTGACCGATGCGTTTCTTTTCCCCAAACATCGCACTCGCATCTGAGCTCGCCACCTGAACTTACTTCACTCGCTGGGTGGGTAAGGCCTACAAGTTCGCTCTAGGCAGGATCACATCGAACTGTGAACTCTTCCCTGTCCATTGAAGTTGAAGGCAGTTTTTGTCTATTCCCGAATTTGCGAGGCAGCCTGAATTTTAATTGGTGTGGTCACAGCGTAATGGTACGTAACGACAAAGGTGGGGGCACTCAATCAGAGATGGAAGGCTAACATTTTTGGACAGGTAAAGGGGAGGAGCAACTGGATAAACGTAGATAAAGATCTCGAGACGATATGCTAATGAGTGTACGGTATAATATTATGGCATGCCTCAAGCCACGCTACTGTGATTGGTCATCAAGGTTGACCACTCTTTGCTCGCCATATGTCATAAACCCACCCAGGGAACACGTCAGTTCATGGGTCACTGTAGATTCTTCCTTGGCTTCGTCGGCTAAGATCCCGTATTTCTGAGCACTGGGATCTTAGGCGCAGACTACTGTAGTAGAGAATTTTTTGTCACACTACACTTACTAGACTCTAGGAAATTACATGTAGGCCTATTTTGGTTTGCCGTGGGCGCCGTGGACTACACAGTGTAACCAAAATCTGTCTTACCACTATTATAATCAATTGCAATTGAAACTGAGTTTTCAATGTATATCAATCAACAATTTTTAGGCTACCTAAATTTCTTTTTAACTTTTTGGGGGGTTTGTGCTTAAGGCTACCTTGATTCCTTGAGGATTTGTTAATGAAGAATTCAATGCACATTTCCATTTTTTTTTTTGCTGGCCATTTTCATCAATTTTATATTTTCTTAAGAGCAACTTTGTCTCTACATTTTCCAATTTGGATACTTTTCCTACTTTCCCACCTCTAGGACTGACTTACATTTGATCCTATTGTCTTGCTCAAACAAGTTCTATTCATAATATCACTTTCTCACCAGTTGCATCTGTTTGTTTGCTGGATTTTTTTCTTCAATTTCACGGACCATTTCCACCTACGTTCAGTGCATATATTCAAATGCTTTGTATACTGTTTACATTATTAGTAATAAATGGCGTAATTTGTTAAATATACTAGATATGTTATTCAATATGATGTTTTGCATTAGCACTGAAGTGTTTTAGAATATTAGCAGAAAGTACTCTAAATATACTCATAAGTACTTTTTTAAAAAGTACTTGTACTCAAGTACATTTTACAGGAAAGTACTTTTACTGTACTTAAGTACATAATTTAGATTGTACTTAAATTTGTACTTAAGTACCTTTTTAAAAGTACTTTAACAGCTCTGAACCTGGGTATAATGAATAGATATGTACCTTCACAATATAGTTACTCAACGTATACCTTGATTTTCCTTAAATTTCACCTCTGAATGTCGCATGTTACAACCTTGGAACACCACTTCGAATTGTTCTTCATTTTGGTAGTTTTACGCTGGTTTTAGCTTAAATTTCTTTCATCGCGGCCCTTATCGCGTTCCCGTGCCGTAGAATCTCCACATTGATCATTTCTCTAGATCTAGATCTAGACAAATTTATAAAAAAGGTTCTTTCTGACAGTAATTCTCTGTCTAAGATCACAAGTCAATTTACTTGATCAACGCGCAGATTTTCCAGCCGCAGCAACAATCCAAAGATAGACAGACCGAATGAGTGAATGATAGAAAGGAGGAAATTGGCACAAAAAGTTCGCCAGATTTGGATAAATCCACAAGTACTGCCGACCAACCCGCAATGAATGCACGGGGCATAGCGCAATAATGGCTGATTGCAGGAAATGCGCATTCTGGCAGGTTTCTATAACACTGACTTATTGCCGAGAGAATTACCGTAAATATCCGTAACTTATACTAGTACTAGACGATACGATGGCGAGTACGGATCTTTTGCTACGGAATTTCGGTAGTCCTACTTTGTCGCAGTTTTTTACTGAGGGAGTTGATAATGATGGAGGAACAAGTACAGAACTGGCAGAAAGTACGGATTTCCGTAAAAATACGGAAGAGTGGAAGCACTGCTAAGTGCAAAATGTCAGCACAGGCGCAGACAGGAATCAAGCTCACAACCATTTGATCACAAGTCTGACAACCTAAGAAAGTCAGTCACATACAATTTTGGGATTTCAGCACTCGAACATGGTATTTTTGTTTTGTTTTTGTAAAGTGTTTTACGGCGCTCGCAACGAACATGGTATGCAGACCTGCAAACCATTACATGACTAAGAAAGTTTTCGGGGGGGGGGGGGGGG